AAAGGTGGACAAACTACCCCAAAATAATAATGATGTATGTCCCCCACCAGATGTACTACCCCTCCCCTAACACCCATACACCCTTGGATCATCTAGGCATGTTTTTTCAACTATCATTAGTTCACAATTGGCCATCTCCTTATCCTGGGGTTAGGGAACTTGTAACCCTCCATACTTGGTTGAACTACAACTCCCATCATCCCTGGCCAATGATCATGCTAACTAGAGCTGTTGGGGGCTGAAGTCCAACAACACATGGAGGCCCTCAGGCTCCGCACCAGTCTTATCCCTAAGGAAAAAGTATGTTCTGTGGTGGGACGTCCTCTGAAGTTCCTTTTATGTATGTATCACATGGAGCATGTGTAGAGTCCAGGACAAATTTAAAAGTGGCACTTGTGACACAAGAATATAGGAAATCTCAGGTTACATTTTTGAGCCCTTGGCACACTGTCTTCCAAATCCGGTTTAATTACGTGGGAGCTGAGATGGGAAGAAGGTTATTTATTTACACGTGGATGATGCTGAGAGGAATTTTTAGAAGCATGGCTGTAGAGAAGCTGATTTTTCAGACAATGAGGAAAAGGATGTTTGGAAACAAGACTATCCACCTATAGCACTGGATGAGGCCAGAAGTAAATAATATTCAAAGGCTTTTAAGGATTTCAGTAACTACCGTATTTATTTAACATGGGAAGGGAACGGATTGTCTTTCCCTGAGAAATCTTTAGAAGGTTTCCAGGCCAGATTTGGACAAGGGGGGGGGAAGGCAGCCAGATAATGTCTAGTAGTGGCTCTCATGGAGGGCACCTTGTGGAGTGCCACAGAGCTGGGCTTTGGATGGGAAGACCAAGTTCAAATCCTTGCTCAGCTGCCATCTCATTGGGTGTCCTTAGACAGGTCAGTGCCTTTCACCATCTCCTATTTTGCAGGGTTATTGAGACCAAAACATCAGCTTGAGTTGTTCTTAAGTGAAGTGTGCAAATGACATGGATAGACACTATGCAAGGAGGTTCCCAAACCTCCCTACTTACATACATTCTCCTCAGTGAACCAGGAGAAATGGTGCCAAACTACTGGAACACTCGCCTGGTTCTCCCCCATCATCATTCTCCAACTAAGGTTGGTTTTCATTGACACCTTAAAATGTTATTGCATGCTTGTTTTGATCTATTTTTCCCCAAACTAAAAGTGAATACTTCAAGCTGCTTGAACTTGTGTGCAGAGCGTGTTTCCTACCAGAGCAGAGCATTTACTGTACTTAGTGTGTATGTTTTTAATGCTGCTGCTTTACATTCAGTGCCTCAGTAATCCTTACAATGGGGGTGGGGAACCCGGGGCTCTCTAGACGCTGTTGGACTGTGACTCCATCTCCCCAGGCCATTGGCCCTGTTGACTAGGGCTACTGGGAGCTGGGGTCCAGCAACATATGGAGGGCTACATCCCTGTATTGCAGATTGAGAGATGAGGCGGAGAAAGAGGAGCTTGCTTGTGCATGAATGGCTGCTTTGAGTACCTTGTTATAAAGCCAGTCCTTATGAATGCAGTCCTACTGCATCCTCTTCTCACAGTGGCCAACCAGATGTCCATGGGAAACCTGCAAACAGAACATGAGCACAACAGCACACTGCCTACCTGCTGGGATTCAGAGACATACCGGCTCTGAAGATGGAGGGAGAACATAGCCATTGTGTGGCTTGTTGATATCCTTATCCTCCTTGAATTTGTCTTCTCTTTTAAAGCCATCCATTTTAAAGCCTAATCCTCTTTTTGAAGCTAATGGCACCATAAGCTGCAGTGGCTTCCTCTGCCTTTCAATTAGGAGAGAACCACAGCTCCACTGCCAGAAATTAAAATTTAAGAAATCCATAGAACTTGGCTTGCATGCTTTGTTTGAGCTACGCGGTTTGAACACTGTGTGAAACAGGATGCTAGACTAGGTTATGGTTACCAGATGTACCCATTTTCTGGGGACAGTCCCTGGATTTACAAATCTGTCCCCGGACAAATTCCGTCCCCGGAATGTCCCCGGATTTCATTTAATGCCCCCGGATTTATATTTTAAGTGTTGTGGATTTATTAGTAGGGAATGAATGTTGCGTGATTGGTTCAACGGCACAAGACACATCATATGGGGACTTCTAGCGAGGCAAAATGGCAGCCGCCATGGCAATGAGCAGCTCCTGAAGCCAGCCAGAGCCAACTGCACTACCAGGCTGGCTACGGGCTGCTGAGACTACCGCCCCCACTACCGAGGGGGAACTGGGGATGCCCGGAGCATCAACTGGGGGAACCGCTGACACACACCCCCCCGTGACCTAAATCGAGCCGGGAGCAAGAGCGCCCGGCCACCCAGCCGACTGCCCAGCAGCTCTCCAGGGCCAGGAAAACCCCGGAGCCGACGCAGGGAGAAGGAGGAGAGGAGGAGAAGGAACAGAGAGAAAGAGGAAGGAGAAAAAAGAGGGGAGCCCTGACCTTGCCACGTGGCTGCCGCCGCTGAGGAAGAGAGTTAGGAAAGCACTGGGAGGGCAAGGACACAAGGCTGAGCCCAGGCCCAACCTGAGCCTACTCCATGGCAGCTAGCGCTCCAAGAGAGCAGGCCGGGCCCACACAACAGAGGAGACCACAGAAGAGAAGATATTACTTCTTAATATTTTTTTAAAAATAACTTTTTTCTCTCTTTTTAAAAAAGTGTCCCCGGGTTCTTTGGAAAAAATCTGGTAACCTTAGACTAGGTAGGCCTTTGGCTTAATCTAGGTGGGTTCTTCCAGTGGCTTTGGGAGCAAGTCCTATGGTTCCACATCTATGGCTCATAGAATGCCATTATAACAGAGTGGCTAAGAGACTGATCTACAAATCAGGAAGATCCTGCTGCTTTGAATTTCCCCTCTGTAATAAACTCATTAGGTGGCTGTATAGGCAAGCCAATCTCTTGCAGCTTCAGCCCCCACCTCCCTTTGCAACATATGAAGAATTGCAGGATTGCTGCAAGAATTATACCCAAATGATGCATGGCAAGCCATTTTACATGGAAATGATTGCTCCATTAGCCTAGGCCAGGGTGACCGTGTTTGGGAAATTGTAGCCCAAAGGCAGCATTTTAGGCATAAAGCAGGGGCGTGTTGACATAGTGGATTAGAGAATTAAAGGGTGCTTTGCATTTGAATAGACTATGCTGAATTCTAGGAACTGGAAGCAGAAAAAAGACATTTGAGCTCAGTCTTTTCAGGTATCAAAGGATTATAAAGATACCGAGCAAGATGCCACCTAGGTGGAGATTTGCTGCAGAAGAACATCGGAAGAGCCCTGGCCAATGACCCATCTAGCCCAGCTTCCTGTTATCACAGTGGCCGACCAGATGCCTATGGAAAGCCCAAAAGCAGGACCTGAGTGCATGACATGCCACCAGCAGAGTTGGCACACCCCCGAACTCTGCATTAATTGGCCTAGAAATAACATCCTCTGGTTGCATACAGTCACTAAAGTGGATGAGAATCCCTGCTTTATCATTGGAAGTAATGAAAAGATGCACTCTTTAGTAGCTTTGATTACTAGAACCCTTGGATGGCTGAAGAGTTCTCTGAGGAGCATCTGATCCTTGATGGGTCAACTTGACTCTTCTGCCTTACCATGCAGTCTTATGAATAGCTACTCAGAGGGTAGCCCTATTAAGTCTAATGAGACTTCCAGATAGGTGAGTATAGCGTTGCAACCTAAGGACATAATATTCAAGTTATTCCAGCTGAGGGAGGGACAGGACATCAGGTTAGGTGGCAGCCCTGTGACTCCCGCAGAACTGCCACCAGCACAACAGATAAAGCCTGTAGGTTTGCCTATCACTCTGGCAGAATGATCAAAACAGGTTATGTTGACCCCAACCTGCAAAGCCAGACTCCAAAATTAAACCGGGTAGGATTTTTTTAAAGTTTCTTTTTTTAAAAAAACAACACTTCTAAATATTATAGGAAAATAAAGTACAACTTTAATCCAAAGCAAAAATAAAAATGTGGTCAAAACAGATCAAAATAGATCAAATTACAAAGATAATGCAACAAAAAAATGGACTTGTTATTTGAATCAAGGCCTGACCGAAATAATTATATGACAACAGATAACAAAATGTGTTGAAGACCACATGTGTTTCAACCCAATTGGTCATTATGAAGATCATTATGGAGCTGACAGAGTGGGGGCATTGTTTTGTGATGCCATGGCGTGCAGGGGGTGTGTCCCCTTGCCCTGATGGCGGGCTTTGGCGGTGTTTCAAGGTGGGGGTGCCTGCTCTTTCTGTGCCCTTGGGGGGGGGTTAGTGGTGCGTTTCCCCCTTCTTTTCCAAGCTGAGCACGCATAGGAGATGGCGGTCATTCCACGGGCAAAACAGTAACGTATTTCCCCACCCCCCTTCGACAAAACTGGAACGCAGGATTGCTTCGTAAGTCTCCTTCCTAAGTGAAAGCATAGGGGAAATTAAGGCTGTCACTGGAGGAGTGTGGGGTGAGCTGATGTGCGCTGATGCCTGTGTATTTTTATGAGCTGGGGATTAAAAACCCTTCCCCTGTACGAAGACACACATGCACATCACTCCATTCATTTCTCTCTCTCTCTGGCTTCAGGACATTATGGAACTCTTTTCCTGCATTTGATGATGGGTACACCCCCCTTCTCCCCCCTCCATCACCTCTTTCCTGTTTTGATGGGGGGGGGGAATGTCCTGTTTTCCTTCTTTATTTTTCCAAAGTACCAAATAGCACCGAAAAGGAATATCTCCCCCTACCCTCTTTCATGCTACCACCAATATAACAATATATATGTCTATTTATGATATATAACACATCACACCCTGTTCTTTGGGGATAATAAACATATTTCCCTCCCTAATTTGAGGAGGGTGGGAAACACCTTCAGCTCTCCCCCCCCTTTCCACCCATCACCCAACCCCATCTCTTATAACCAGCCCGTTTCCCCCAACTCACCATTCTCCTGTCCTTCACCTCTTCACGCAGCAGCCGCTGAGGAAAGGAAGCCTGCTGAACAAGAGTAAAAATAGACCCGGCAGTTACTCAGCGCCTGAGAACATGATGACATGACTCATGAGGTAAAATAAAGAGATGTGAAAATCAAAAGCCCGTTGCATTCCCACCACCATCCATCCATCCATCCTTGCACGTAGCGAACCCCACTTCACTCCAGGCCTGTCTTGCATCTCGGATCTAAGGAAGGGGGAAAATAAATTGCTCTTGAATTTTGGGAGTCACCAAGCCCTCAGGTAAATACTCGGGTAAAAGGGAACTAACAGGCTGCCTCCCCCCAAGCTGATTTTTGACCAGGCACCAGTTTGCATACGACATCTGATGGGGTCACTTTCCAGGGTTCTTCTCTCTCTCCCCCCATGCTTTTCAGGGGGTTCTTCGGGGTTTTCACCACCAGCTGGCAAGGGAGGGCTGTGCATTTGCTGGGGGCCCAGGATCATTCATGGGCCTCAGTTAGCCAGCACTGCGTTCTGTGTTTCTGTTCTGCAGGGGGCACGGGGATGTCAGAAAAAGAAGAAGAAGAAGAGTTTGGATTTGATATCCCGCTTTATCACTACCCGAAGGAGTCTCAAAGCGGCTGACATTCTCCTTTCCCTTCCTCCCCCACAACAAACACTGAGAGGGACTGAGTGGGACTGAGAGACTTCAGAGAAGTATGACTAGCCCAAGGTCACCCAAGCAGCTGCATGTGGAGGAGCGGAGACGCGAACCCGGTTCACCAGATTACGAGACTACCGCTCTTAACCACTATACCACACTGGCAACGTGTACGGCCTCTGGTCCACGAAGGCTTTGCACTGCCTTCGTGTGCACGTCTGCAGGCTGAAGCACTCTCAGTTTGCACATCCCATGCCACACCACATGTGGCTCACGCTGTAACAAGCCTTTTAGTGCTTCAGGTGTCGCAACATGATTGATCTTGCTCCTTTCACTTTTAGCTCTTGCCACGTACTGGGGGTCAGCGTTGAATCATTTAGGGCCAGTTTTATACATCATCATTGCCGCCATTAAACCAAGGTAGTTTCAAAAATATCAGCAGGGGGACTGGCCATCAGGTGAGCTATTCATCTACATCAGACTGGGTGATTTTAAGCATCTCGTTGTGAGCAAACATTGGGCCACGGGGGAAATCACCTAATGAGTCATTGCACATCAACAGCTTGCCACATGGAGCAGTTTCATGTGATTTTCATATGGTGATCATAATGTGTAAGATAAAGGTAAAGGACCCCTAGATGGTTAAGTCCAGTCAAAGGGGATTATGGGGTGCGGTGCTCATCTCGCTTTTCAGGCCGAGGGAGCCAGCGTTTGCCACAGACAGCTTTCTGGGTCCTGTGGCCAGTATGACTAAACCGGTTGTGGTGCAGCAGGACACCATGATGGAAATGAGATCGCATGGAAACACTGTTTCCCACAGCAGTGGTACCTATTTATCTACTTGCACTGGTGTGCTTTCAAACTGCTAGGTTGGCAGGAGCTGGGACAGAGCAACAGGAGTTCACCCCGTCATTGGGATTTGAACCGCCAACCTTCCGATCAGCAAGCCCAGGAGGCTCAGTGGGGTAGACCACAGTGCCACCCACATCCCACATAATGTGTAAACCTGTGGTAAGAAGGAGGCTGGGGCAGGGGGTGGGGTATCAGAGGAAGAGCCCAGTTTGAGAGTGTTTGAACTGAGCTACACAGAACGGTGTGGTGCAGCTCTTGCTGAACTTTACCAGTATGGACTCAGTTGGGGATTGTTTGAATGCTTCCCCATATTTTAAAACTGGGAGGGAAGCACGCTTCATGCAACATAACAAATCAGTGGCATAGAAGAGAAAAATCTGGTGCTCACCCACCAAGAAAGATGGTTTGCAAGTTTGTATGGGTCAGGCCAGAGGCAGATTCAGCACTTTCTACCATTGCAATAATTTCACCTCTGTTTCCTTTCATGAGAAGTCTGGTAAGAACTGCACTGGGCATTCTCCAGTGTTGGTATAATAGCTGCATATAAGCTGGAGGGTGGGATATGCTGAAATTATGCTTGGCCGTATACTCTGTATTGGCGAGCCATGTGTTTTACCATCCTGGCATTAAAGTCCTCATACTTTGATAAGGTCATTTTGGGAGAGTGGCTCTGCATGCAGTTAGCCCAATATAGTCTCTGTTTAGTAGCATAGGGCAGGGGGTAGGAGTGGAGAATGGCTATTGACTTCTTAGGATTTAGCCCTGCCTACAAATCCTGAAGCTGGAATGATACCCTCAAATCCCTCTGCACTAGCTTATTGAGTGCTACACAGGTGCAGACCATGCTCATGCAATACATAGCACTCTCCCACAATCCCTACTCCAACCATGCGCCTGAAATCTATATAGGCAAACAGAGAAAGGAGTCAGGCAAGCTGTCACAATGACTTGTACCCATTGAGAGCCATGTGGCTCCAGCTATGAAGTGGGCCCCTCTCTCTCTCTCTGGAAGCAGGGCAGCCTCTTCACCAACCTGGTGCCCTCCAGCTATTTTGGACTACAATTTCCTGGTTGGCGCTGATGGGAATTGCAGTCCAAAACAGCTGGACGGCACTAGGCTGATGAAAGCTGTGCTGGGCATTTGTGGTTTTCCACTGACCCTTCTCAGCATCATTTTCTGTGTAGCCTTTTGCTCCCTTCCCTTGAGTTGAGGGAGATCCTGTTGCTCCGCCTTCTGTTTTTCATGGTGTTTGACTTTTCCAGCTTGCATTTTGCATGCCGTGAGCTGAGGTGGCCACCGGCCACACAGTTCCTGTGGCTTTTCCTGAGAGTCCGTCCCCCCCCCCCCATTCGCCCCATCTTTTAAAGGCATGCTTTTTATTTGGCGGCATTTGGGCCCTATATAACCCATGTTGCGATGATTATTTTACATGGTTGAACGAGCCGTCATAGGCTGCATCTCCTGGAGCAAAATATTAAATGAATAAATAAACATCCAATTAAGAATTGTCTAGTGGCAATGAGCATAGCGCCTACAAATCGGTCCACGTGATTTGCTGTGAGATATTACAGGCGGGTGGCGCTGTGGATGAAACCACAGAGCCTAGGGCTTACTGATCAGAAGGTTGGCGGTTCGAATCCCCGTGACGGGGTGAGCTCCTGTTTTTCGATCCCTGCATCTGCCAACCTAGCAGTTCAAAAGCACGTCAAAGTGCAAGTAGATAAATAGGTACCACACTGGCGGGAAGGTAAACAGTGTTTCCGTGCGCTGCTCTGGTTGGCCAGAAGCAGCTTAGCCATGCTGGCCACATGACCCGGAAGCTGTCTGCAGACAAACACAGGCTTCCTCGGCCAGTAAAGTGAGATGAGCACTGCAACCCCAGAGTCGTCCGCGACTGGACCTAATGGCCAGGGGTCCCTTTACCTTTACCTATTGCCTGTGGAAAACCCCAGTGACTGGGACTTTTCTTCTATTTGCTTCCAGACATCCTTGCACAATGCCATAACTCCAGCAGCATTTGTCATGCTGTATTCAGCCTACAGCTGAACACCTCTGCTGATGCCCCCCCCCCCCCGCTGAAAGGTAATAACAATTAACCTTAGCCATATAAGTGACAGGAGGTCGTTCTTAATTGATTCCGCACTTGAAAATGGAGAGCAGTGTGTCAGCTGTCTCCAGACAGGTACCACATCACCATCACCCACACAATATTTCTCTGCCCCTCCAGCACCCAGACTAGGTTATCTTCTCTAACAAAACAAAACAAAAGCTGAGCAGGTTAACAAGTCCCCCCCCGCCCCCCCTCAACGGACCCAGACAAAGTGGCATCTCTGAAGACAAAGGGTTTCAATAGCGCTCCTGCCCTCTGCCCTCTCCTAAACAATGTGAAATCAAGGAATATTGTCCTCAGCTGAATAAAAGCCTCTAAATATAGTGCGTCTGATGTGTTCTTGGTTTCCTGCCCGTCATTCCCCTCCCCTCCCCCTCCGCCGGCCCACTTTGCCACTAATCCAACACATTAACACAAAAGAGGGTGAGATCACACTAGGAAGACCACCTCCTCCCCACATGATGAGGCAGAGGGGATTTCCAGTGTTTTGTGTCTCTTGTTTGCAAGCTAGAGGTGGGCTGGCTTGGAGGGGGTGGGTAAATGTCAGGAGGCACCAGCGCTGCATGTGGGGGAGGTTGCTGTCAAACAAACAGAGAGCCTTTCACTCCGGCTTCCGCCTGCGCCCACTTCTAATTCTGGACCATGCGCATGACCCTGCCAGTGCACACTGGCCTCTAATATCACAGTCCTGGGTTGTCTGTGAAGCTATGTTTGCCCCTGTGCATTTCTACACATTGGCTTTTTGCATGATGCAGGTGCGTCAGACTTGCACAACCGATGCATTGAACTTCTCCCGCAACATTGTTTCCCCCCAGGATCAAAGCAGGGTCTTCTGTGTGTGGTATCAGATGGTGGACCACCTTTGCCGTGATGAAGGGGATGGAGCAACTCCTCTATGAGGAAAAGTGGCAGCATTAAGGACCTTTTAGTATGGAGACAGGGCAAGTCAAAGGGGACGTGACAGAGATGTGCAAAACAATGCATGTTATGGAGAAAGCAGGTGGAGAGAGGTTTGTCTCCCTCCCTTATAGTATTTGAATTCTGGGATGTAATTTACTATCTGGTCTCATTTTGGCATCACTCTTCTTGCTGCAAATTGTGAAATCCACTCAGAACTTCCTCTTGAAGGATTGAAACAAGAGTTCTTTAATTAGGGACACTTCTCCACGTTCATATTTCCTCCTTGGCTATGAAAATAAATTACAGGTCAATTAAAGGACCTGTCAATTAAAGGACCTGCGACCTTTATAAGCAAATCCCCAAGTGAAGATACCTTGTGTGAAGCTATGCAATGGTTGGGAGTGTCTCACCAGCCCAGGTTCCTCCCTGAAAAGTAAAAAAAGCAAGTCCACTAACTCAGAGATTTGGCAAAGGGCAACTGAGACCACCACAATCCTTCTTCCTCTTCCCTTCTATACCATTTTTAATGTTGTGGCCAAGTAAGTTTTCCTATGCCTTCTCATGTCCTTTCTTTAATATTCTTTATTTTAATTCAATTGATTCCATATTTCTTTGGCCAATTATCTGGGGGCAGCTTCTGTGGAATGTTGTCTCTCTTTGCCATGGCTGATGTGCCAAAAGTGGCAGAGGCGTGGGGGGAAAACACCGGATCCCCACAAGGAGCGGGGGAGGAAGCAGGAGAACAGCAGCTACAATCTGAATCACAGACAGAGAAGCAAGGAAGGGTGAGGAGAAGTGGGGAGGAGGGTGCTTTCTCTCTCTCTCTCTCTCTCTAAGTCACAAAAAGTCTTTGTCAGCAGGTAAGAGATGAAGGGTGAACTGTGGAAGCCTCTTGTCCTGTGAGTCACTTGCTTCTAATCTCATCCCAGACAGGGAGGGATGGGGATGCCCAGGAAAGCAGTGATGGGGAATGACTGATGGCACAGTGATGGATAATAAAACAATTGTTTTCTAAAGTGTGGTAGGTCTCCAAGAGGGGAGCCAGCATCGTACCAGAGATGAACAGGATCCCAAGGCA